ATATATATATATATATCTATTTGACGATATATATAGTCGGTGAAACTCCGACGAAACAGTTTGTCACAGCCCCTCGTTTGTTGTCCTCTTCTCCCTCTCTGCCTACGGTTTACCGGGCAGTTCTATTTGACGATATATATATATTTGGTATATATCCATGCATACACACACCAAGCACGATCTGGTCCTACACCCATCCCGATGCAACTGTATACCTATATACCCTCAGTCTGTATTAACTGGTGTGGAGTCCTCTCCCTCTCTTTCTCAAAGAACTTCCTCCGAACATAACACATACATATTGTAATCAAGTTTGAGAAAAGGAAAGGCCCCTGTGCAAGGAAAATGAGCGATAGTGAACTTCAGAAATCAAACAGCATCATACACATGAGACCAGTCGTGACCTCGAACCAATAGCAGAATTGCATCACAAGTTTCACCAAATAAGAGCACAGCAAAAGCTCATAATTGACAATGCTGGAATAGTCTCATCATCATCAACGAAGAACCAATGTCGATATCCTATCTGGCGCTCGGCGCCCAGACTGCAGATGGCAGATCCTATCTAGTCTATCTACGATGCGGCTGATGATGTCAACAGCTCCCCGAAGTACGAGCAGATCTCGGTCAAAGCCGTTCGCCTCAAGCACCAGGTATATCTCTCGTATCACTCACAACCTCGATCCCCAACTCACAGATGCCACATGCACCCAAGGACCACTATGCGCCCCATCTGGCTTACAGCAGCGCAGCTCAGCTATGGCTGCCTGCTCATCCTGCTCGCCTGTGAGCGCGTGAGCGCTGGCCAGCGTTTGCGCAGCATGCAGCCAGTGCCCAAATGCCGAATGCCTGGGCAGGCACTTTCCTAAATGGAAGTGACCTTCCTGCCTTGCGTGCAGCCTGGCTGCCCTGAGCCCCTGCCCAGAAGCTTCCAATAGGCCCAGAGAGGCTGAGCCCCAGTCCAAACGAATCAGGCCCTGGACCTGTGGTGGTTGCCCGTGTCCAACTGCCCGCGGCCTGTGTTCGGTCCATGTTGCGAATCTGGCCCAGGGCCTGCCTCAGTTACATTTTAAAGAGGCAGCTTGGGCCTGGGCGCTCTCAACCAACTGGCGCTGCGCAACTGCCTCAATTTCCCCAGTTGCGTGTTGACCCCAAAGTGGGCCTGTAGGCCTTAGTCGAGCCTGCCTTCACTTAGGGCGGCCAACTGTACAGAAAATAGGGCCCAGTAGGGCATATCGAGGCGATGAACCTCGCACCTGTTTCGGATTTTGGCCAATGATTTTAAATACAACGCCCTTTTCAATAGGCATTGCATTCGAGCAGAACAATTGGGTGTTGTATTCGAGTTCCCCAAACTAGAAAATATATTATTCGAATAATACCCTGCAAGCAAACGTGCTGTTTGAATGTTGCTGGCAAAGTTGTTTTGTTTTTCCCCCTTGTTCATTAGTATTATGACTCTATGAGTTTTCATTGATCCGGGGAAAGAGCAAAGGGGTTTTTTTCAGCAAGAGCTGACTGCTTTTCTGTGGGCCAGCAAGGACAACATTGTGTGTGGTCATAGAGAGCAGCGTGCCATACTCTCACACACATCTTCCCTACTCCAACCATGAGTCACTGTTTCTGCTTTTTAGTTCGTCTCTGCAAGTGTCGCAATGCAATTGCTGAGAGAGAGAGAGAGAGAGAGAGAGAGAGAGAGAGAGAGAGAGAGAGAGAGAGAGAGAGAGAGAGAGAGAGAGAGAGAGAGAGAGGACTGCAAGTGCACCATGCAATTGTTGTGTTGTGGGAACAGAATGAGGTGAACGTGTATGGTATGTGCTGTCTGCTGTTGAGCAGATGCTGTGCCGATTGCGGGACTTAGTTCTAAGAGAGCTCGGATTTGAAGATATCTTCAAAACAGTAAAGGTGAGTGAGACTGTCTGGGAGAGAGGGGTTGTGCGAGGCAGGTCTCACGTTTGAATTGGTGGATTCAATCTCATGGAAATGCTGGCATATGAGCGTTAACTAGGCTTTTTCTTTTTTCCTTTTGTGCTGATTATGAACGAGTGATTTGTTGATCTTAGTCTGGTCATGAATGTTTAATTGGTTATTGATTATTCACCAATTATTGTTCCATCTCCCCTGTCCTTCCCCCCCCCCCCCCCCCC